AAAAAATTTTCAAAGCTGGTTTCAAAACTGAACGCCTTATTTTTCAATGTGAGTAAATACGGTGATGCAAACGTGATTATTTGTCTTTTGAATCGTCTGCACATAACATCCGCCATTTTAATTATCCTCTAAGAGCTCCGTGGCGCCTAAGACGGCTGAGTCGTGCATAAACGGGCCACACCCCCCCCCCCCCCCCCGGTGTCTATATACTCCCCCTTTAAAGGGGCTCAGTATTGGTTGAGGCAGACCAATTTTCAATTTTGATAAGTGTCTCATAATCGCATCGATAATTTGCCTGATCACAAAGTAGGAAGGCCCGTTTCGAAATTATCGTTATGACGGTTAAAAACTCGTAGAATGTACGCTGCCCGAGGGACGAATTTTCGGGGGGTCGCAGCTCACCGGCTTGACAACAGGGACCGGAAGGGTGGGTAGAGCGAGCCAGGTATCCCTCGGGACGGGAATCAATTGATCGCGGCGCAGAGCGAGCAACATTTGTTGGTCCATCGGCCAATCAATCTGATCAATCAGGCTGTCGAGGGGCGCGGGGAGGGGGAGGGGTCCGTGTGGCGTTGACCCATTCAACTCTTCATCGGCCGCTTGTGCATTTTTGATGGCGCCTCGACGCACCGTCGACGGATCGTCGGTGAGGTTCGGTGCCGGGGGTGCGGTGGTCGGTGAAATTCGGCAGCCGCGAGCGAGGAATCGAGTCCGCGCTGGGGTCGCAACTTTATGGCCGTCCAACCCCCTCCTCCCTCCAGCTCCCTCCGGGCTGATTCGCTGACCACAGGAAGTTAGGAAATTGGCTCCGCGGTGGAGTCTCTGCGCCTCGCCTTTGCCTCGGGAGGAAAAATGCGCTCGATTCAAAGGACCGCCCGCAAGGTAACGCAACGCTCAAGGAGGTGGCTGAGAGTTTGCTTTGCGTCGCAGGGGACGAGGGAGTGCAGCAGAGCGTTGAGAATCGAAATCTGTTGACGTTATTTACGAAATATGAAATAAATAAATAATTTTCCTCGTTTAATTTTCGTCGCTCGACCACAATGCTGTTTTTTGTCTACTATGAAAGGCAATATTGAACAAAATTGCAAACGATTTTTAACTTCTTTCGCCTACATTCAGTTATCTCGCATTTCAATTATTTCTTATTTCGATTATGTTTCCTTACCTTTGAATCCCTAACTCGTCACAAACGTTCGCCGTTATAAGCGGCGCGGCACATCGCGAGTGCACTCCTCGCGCCATCGCGCCTTCAATTTTTCAGATGCAACACGGACATCCATTAAGCACTAATAGTTGTATCGCTGCGCCGTCATCTCCTCATAAGTTCCCTGCCACATAAATCTCCATCTAATCATTTTGAATCAAGTGAACATTTTTAGAATTTTTCGACCTTGTTTTTCCCGCAGAAAAATCTTGACCCAGCTTTACTCCACCATCCCGTTGCATACAGTTTGGACCACATTTTTAGTGTTTTCTTTTCTTGTCCATATTTCTATCTTACCCCCTTTATTATTTTTTTTTGAAAGGGGGCACTTTCCCTTCCCCTCGCGGTGCCCACCCCGATGCAGGATGATAAGCGAGTGGTTGCCATGCCATCGGCGGGGCAGTGACCCCCGGGTGTTGCTCGGCCCGGCAACCCCCATCCCTGGAGCCGACCTTTCTGAAATCTGCTACTTAGCGGGAGTTGTGATTAATAATAAGACGAGAGCAATAACTTTCCCCGCGGTCGGGAATCGACTCCGACTCCGACTCGGGCAAGTGCCGAGAACTTTTCTTCCCAGTCGGCAACTTGTTTATCTTCGACTCCGACCTTTCGCCCAGGCCCTGCATCGCCGCACACTGGTCCCAGTCAATAGGGGATACACATTTTTATAGAGCAGCCCGAGACAAGGGTAACAGTAGAAAAACAAGGGGAAAACGGGAAACAAGGCTAAAATACACAATTTAAAAAAAAAAAAACCTGGGCACACTAGTCCCAGTCAGTAGGAGATACAAATTTTTATAGAGCAGCCCGAGACAATGGTGACGTCACCAGGCGCTGCATTTTCTCACCTTTAAATCTATTTTTATACCATTTCCCTTATCAGAAAAAAAATCTAAAAAACACTGTGAAATTAGCTCTCTAAGCAAGCACTTCCAGATGAAGCAATAAAAAATTTGCATGCAAATTCTTCATTCGAGAAGTTTGACATGACATTTTTTACTGAAACTGGAAATTTTGATGTTTAACTTGTCACATTTTAAAATTAAGGGGTGTGTCTGAAAGAAAATTTCACAAGAAAACCAATAAAACCACTTTTAAAACCTTATAGATTTGTATGAACGGAGTTATAAGCTTTTAAAGTTTCCAAATTTTGTCCGACATCTCCTATTGACAGTAGAAAAACAAGGGGGAAAACGGGAAACTAGGCTAAAGTACACAATTTAAAAAAAACCGAGACGTTTCGACTCACAACTGAGTCATTTTCGTTCGGAAATATTTCAATAAAAAGTTTTTAAAAACGATGAAGAACCTGAGCCCTACATAAAAAATGACATGAAAATGACTCAGTTTTGAGTTGAAACGTCTCGGTTTTTTTAATCGCGTATTTTAACCTTGTTTCCCGGTTTTCCCCCTTGTTTTCCTACTGTCAATGAAAGATGTCGGACAAAATTTGGAAACTCCAAAAGCTTATAACTCCGTTTTTACAAAACTTCAAGGTTTTTAAAGTGGTTTCATCGGTTTCCTCGTGAACTTTTCTTTCAGGAACACCCCATAAAATTTAAAATGTGACGAAATAAACATCAAAATTTAAAGTTTTAGTCAAAAATGTCATATCCGACCTCTCTAATAAAAAATTTGCATGCAAATGTTTTATTCCGTCATCTGAAAGTGCTTAAAGAGCTAATTTTGCAGTATTTTTTATAATTTTTTTTCTGATATGGGATTCAGTACAAAAATAGATTTGAAAGTGAGAAAATGCATCGCCTAGTGACGTCATCTAGCGACTTTCCCATTTAAACACACGTATTTTAGCAGATTAGATCATTTTGCCATATCCTCATAATTAATTGTTCAATTCATGAACCAAGGGTATCCTTGTGTTCAGTTCACCTAGTAGCTTCCCTTTAAACACGATATTCATCAAATTTCAGGCACCTGCGAATTCTCTATTGATTCGATCCACTGTGCGCCGTTTACCTTCCAGTCGGCTCCTGTCTAATTTCGCTCTTCCCTCTTTTATTTTTGATCTCGCCCTGCTTGGCCGGGGTCGTCGAGTGGAAGGGGGGCATTGGCTCGCTGTTTTCCGAGTATTCAAGGGGTGTTTTATTCGAGGCTTTATTATTGGCGGTGATCGTCCGTTGATTCTGTTCGAGATCAAAGTGCTTCGGAAACCCTTTTCGAAGTTGAAGCTCTGCTCTCTGATCGTCCTGCCGCAAAGGTAGAGAAGCTAAATGAACCGATTTTGTAATAAAGAACTACTATTTTTACCATATTCTATCCTAATTCTTTCGCAGAATAAAAAGCTTCTTCTCGGAAATACCTGCTGAATTTAACTTAAGATTCCCTAAATTACGTTACGCTGTAGGGACGGGGGCGGGCGGAGGGTGGAAAACGCTCCGCCGTTTTGTTTATACGTGTTAAAGGATATTGACCTACGTCACCAAAGTGTCACAGGGGGGAGGGGGAAGGGGAAGGGGGTCAAAAGTGCCGAAAAAAACGTTACGAAATTTAGGAACCCTTAAATGATTCACAGCTTTCAATTTTCTGTCAAAGTATACTGTATACAGGGTTTCCACAGTCAGCTAATACCGACAAATGCCAAGAAAATGGACGAAAGTGTCGGGGAAAATTGTTAGGTCATCTTAATTTGCTTTCTAGAATGGTGTCATTGTTTCGAACAACAAATTCCGCCTGAAAACTGTTTCAAATTATGTCCTATTAACCAGGGCCGGATTTACCTACTTGCCGCCCATGAGCCGCCTGTATTTTGCCGCCCCCTTCTCATTTGTTTTGAAACATCAATAAAAACCATCAAGTGAACGTGCCGGAGGGGTAGGGGTGCCAAAACCGCGTTTACTCGTGTTGGACACATTTTTTAGGAAAGACCTGTTAACTAGACTAGCAAAAGTTCACGGAAATTTGCGCGAAAGTTAAGTTCCGTAAACCTATCTTTGTGTGGACAAGGCCTTTCATTTGTAATAAAGGAACGAAAAAACTATGAAAAGGAAACAAATATATGGTTTAATGATTTTAACTTCCGCCACCGCGTCGCGCAGACTGCACTGTGTTTGGCGCAATGCGTAAAGAATTCCTACAGTCTTGTAAACGCTATGCGTTTCACGCCGACCGCTGCTGAACGCACTGTGTTTGACGCAATGCGAGAAGTATTCGTGCAGTCTTGTAGGCGCTATACGTTTCACGGTGACCGCACTGTGCTTGGCGCAATGCGTGAAGTATTCATGCATTCTTGAAGGCGCTATGCGTTTCACGCTGACCGCAGTGACCGCACTGTGTTTGATGCAATGCGTGAAGTATTCATGCAGTCTTGTAGGCGCTAATATGTGTCACATGCCGACCGCCGCGCCGAGGGTTTCTCCTTTTCATCTCAAGTCCTCGCCATCATTCCTCTCTAAGCCACGCCGTTCCAGACCAAATTGCGTGTTTGGTTACTCTATTAACTCGACTAATTAAAGGTGCTGTCCTGTATCACTGATAGACTAGACGACAAAATTAGAAATTACTACTCTCTCGGAAGATGAGAGATTGTTTCGCCTTTTCTCGTTCGTAATTTTTTCTCTAAATCCGATTTTTTTTATATACCTACATTTAAAAAAACTGCAAAGTTTGCTGCCCCCTAGATTTGCCGCCATGTGGCCACCCCCTAAATCCGGCCCTGTTATTAACCATCTGGCATAACCTAAATTGTTGGGGGATTTTACCAAAATGTGTCGAGGAAATTTTATGAATCTGGTGTCCGCATCGATTCTAATTGCGTATCGTCCATTTTTTGTTTCAGGTCCGAACGTTATTTGTTAGCGGTTTGCCGATGGACGCAAAGCCCAGAGAGCTTTACCTGCTTTTTCGGGCGTACGAAGGATATGAAGGTTCTCTGCTCAAAGTAACTAGTAAAAATGGAAAAACAGCATCGGTAAGTTTGCCGTTTTCTCAGTTCGTGAACGTTTCTCATTAATCGACGATCAGATACAAAAGCAATTCCATAAACTTGCATCACTAAAAATTCACAGAGCAGTCAGAAGTTGGTTCGGAAGATTTTTCTCCCTGATTTCTAAGAAAATGTTCAAGTAATTTTTATTTATGTGAAAAGTATAAAAGTAGCAAAATTTCATTCCCTGTATGCTGGAAGTTTTTTTTCCAATAAAGAGGTTGATAAGGATCTATGCATCAAAAAGTGTTGAAGTCACTCTACACGAGGTCTTGTTAGAGTTCACGGGAAAAAAGTTTTAGGAGTTATCCCCTAAAATTGTGGCGCTGCCCCAATTTGTTGGATGATATAGTATGTGATACCGCAACATTTGAGTTAGTAACCTAATTTATTGGGGTCCTACCCCAATGAATTGGACTACATTTTGCAATTTGGAACTATAAATTCTAGGCCGGTTTAAAAACAACGTATTTGCCATTAGTTTCGCTATGCACATAAGTGTTTTTCCAGAAGAGCCAGAATTTATAGTTCCAAATTGCACAATGCAGTCCAATTGGAAATGTCCAAGTTGGGACTTAACGTTTACCTCTTTCTCCGCGTTTTGTTCGATTTTCAATCAATATGTTACTAAAAGGTTCAAATGACTTTCACTTTTTCATTTGTTTATTTTCTTTTAGTTAATTTTTTTTTTTTTTCGTTCTCTTCCACTCATCTTTTTCCCTTTTTCAGCCTGTTGGGTTTGTCACATTTCACACACGTGCCGGCGCGGAAGCTGCCAAACAAGATTTACAGGTAAGATCTCTCCCGGGTGCACATTCTCACTCACACATTCACACACACTCACTCAAGACGTATCTCAAAGCCGTGTCTACACTAGAGCCCCTTTTCCGAAAAAGATACCACAATTTTAGCTCCGCACAGTAGGAAAGTTGCAATTGATGAGAGAGTCACCGAAACTTAATCGAAATGCTTGAATAAAAAGCACTGAAAGTCAATTACAATTTGTTATTTTTTTCCAAGGTTTCAATATATTTTCAATTTCACTATATTATTGTTACATTGTGTCTAAAACCAGTGCATCTTGAGTCTTTAATTACCGAACAAATAAATGCACGAAGTGCCTCGGCCACTAAGCGGCCCGACCGAAACCACAGCTGGAATTGAAGAAGGAGCTAAAATAAGTGAAGTAGTTGCACCGAGTACCTAGTGTAGATTAGGCTTACACGTGGCCTACAGTACTCACTGTAGTGGCGGCTCGTAGATGGGGCTTGGGTAAATATTGCTGCGATTTTTAAAAACTGAAGAATGACAATAAGTGAATAAAATAAGCAGTGTTAAAACTCCTTGAAATTCTGTGCTTTTTTTCCATCTTCAACACAGTTATTCGAGTGCCACTAATGATGCTCTGTTAATTGTATACTATATGAAATTAATAGTACCTACATACCACTTGGATTACGCAAGTAAAAACTCAAACCACGTCGAGCTTTGTTGTTTAGTGCGATTTTAGAGGTTTAATTAGGTAAAGCTTTAGATAAATGTCCAATGTATAGCATTTCTGAAAGGTTCGCTGTTTTCAACTACGAATTAGGTATTTACAGTGGCGTGGCGCGCTTTGCGATGTATTGATTGATCTTCCATTTAAACCTATGGAAATGACCGATGGACAGGGTGTTCGCAACGAACACCTTAATAATCTATTCTTAACCATAGCTTCAAATGGGGAAATATCGATAATATTGATCACTCTCGCCTCACTGTCTTTAATGTGGTTTTGGTTTTGTAAAACATTGCTGCCGTCATGGTCCAATTCCATCACCCATCCCTTCGGCAACATAAATCTTCTCATGGTTGCATATTAACGCTAAAAAATCATAGCGGTACACTTTTAAGCAACTGAAGAAAAGCTTCAATATAATATCACCACAATTTTTGTAAGCTCCGACTTCTTTTTTTCTTTAAATGTCAGAAAATGTATGAATTCCCGTGCAATGAAGTTCCGCACTGGCAAAGAAAAGAATTCCAGGTCCTAAGCCTATTATTTTGTAACATGGTAACACTGAACCTGCTTCAAGCACGGACCATTTCTAACCTCACTCCAAGCTCAATCATCCACTCATTATGCACTCTCCTCTTTACTAAAATCAAATACCCAACAACCCAGCGCTAGTCGATCGTTTAAATATTTTCAGAAATAGCCCTGCTGGGCGAAATGTGTGCTTTTTGTCCCAAAAATCGCATCTCCCAATAAGACTTGTATTATGTGGGTCCATCAATTTGTTTCAATTTACAAATCAGGTCATTTCACTCAATTTAGTGGAACTTTCAATTCTTGGGACGACTTTGTCACGATTAATTTGTTTCCGGACGTGTGAAGCTGTGAGAGTAGTTAATGGATTCCGGATGGAAATGAGATAAAAATTGAATGAGTTCGATCACTCCAGTCCTTACTCGTAAATACTTTATACTTCATTAATAATCATCAGAGACTAGTTAATTGTCAAGATGCTCGTTTCTCATTTCATGAAGATAAATTTAATTTGTCCTTTTAATAGCTAGCGCTCGGTTTTAGAATAGTTTGTTACCTTTCTTAACGCAGATAGGAGAGTTTGGTAACGCTAACATTCATTTTCTGTGATGTTCAACGTTCTAAGTGGTTGCGATATGGTTGGCGAGACAACAGGAGAAAAATTCTCTTGACAAATGTAACATGTGACTGATCACGGGAAAAAGGACCTTTGTGCTGGGCGGGATTTTAAATTTTTTCAAGAAAAAAGATTTGATCAGAATTGGGTCAAAGAATCATAATCTTCGATGGAGATCACTTTTTAGTAACCTATCTAAAAAATTGTGAACAGTTTTGTTCCTTTATAGCTATCATTAAATGGTTTAAAGTTGCGTTACATACTCCGACATTCCCAAACTTACTCTTGGGTAGTTGGAGTTAAAGGGGGCTGTCTCCCAGGAACCTATTTGGTCCCTTTCAAAAATGTTAGAGATTTCGGCAAGGGCGGGACATTTTGTTTTTCATCTTGGAAATCACACCTCAATCAATTTTTCTGTAAGAAATTCTCAAAATTGTCGCTGAGTCGTCTCAATTTAAAAAAAAATTCCGGAGGACCAACGGTGGGAAAATCATCCAGACCCCCCATAATGGAATGCCCTTTTGTGCCGCCTAGATCCTCCCTAATTTTGTTCCTTCTATGCTTTCTCTCCCGAAAAAGAGAATCCCAGTTCCGCCCATGAACACAGAGATTGAAACTTTGGATAACTTATTTCCCTGCAACTGCTAACTTAAACATGCTATTCACTGGAAAAAAAACCACATTGGATCTAGAGTCGAGACTCTTGAAAACATTGACAAGAAAAAATTCTCTTGATTCAATCGGATTTTTGCTTGAATCAAAACGAAATCCGCTCGAATTAAGAGGCTTGGTTCTTGATTTAAGCTAGATTCTGATTGAATCAAGAGTACTTTTCCTTGTCGATGTTTTTAAGAATCTGGACTCTAGATCCAATTTGTTTTTTTCCAGTGTTATCTTGTTCGAGTTCAACATTTTCATTTTTTCAAAACCCATCTGAACTTCGAGTTTTTGGCGCACCAAGCTCCCTCTTTCCGTAGACGGTCACATAGCGTTTGCACACTCTCCTATCCGTGTGAGTGTGGATCATGTGAATGTTTTTCCCTGGCGGGAAGGTGGGGACGAAACAGTAATGTGGGTGTGTGTGGTTTTCAGCAAGGAGTACGGTTTGACCCAGACATGCCGCAGACGATCCGTCTGGAATTCGCGAAGAGTAACACGAAGGTTAGCAAGCCCAAACAATCAGCCGCCACTAGTCTCTCCAACTCGCACGCAGCTCTCATGCACCCTCTCACTGGACGTAAGTATCGCACTCGCACCTAACCTCACTTCTCACTTCTAGATAGAGGCCCCAGACCCGACCTCACTCGCGGCCCAAGTCGCCGCCATCCTAGTGTTTTTCAGCGTTGCCAGATCGTGTGAAATAACGTGGATATATTACACTTAGTTAAGCATATGCAAAAAATTCGCTGAATTTTCGGCACAATCTGGTAACAATGATGTTATTGCGCCGCGGCGCAGCGCGTAAGCTTGGAAAACGTCATTTTGGTTCGCATTACGAAAAAGTTTGAATTTACATCTTTTTTTCCTATCAAGTAGCTTAAACTACGATCCTGAACTAATGCGATAAACGGAGCGTAGATATCGGAAGAGTCGTGAGTTTAGAGTTCCGGCATAGGCCCTACAAAACATGTTGCGAAAAGAGTAAAAGGCACGTTCCTAATTATGTAAATCTATATTCAAACTAAATTTTGCAATCAGAAACTACTATTGAGCTGAAGCTCGTTTTAGAAACAACGTATGTGCCATTACTTTCTCTATGCAGATAGGTGATGGGTACAAGCCAGAAATTGTGGTTCATTTTTGCAAAATTTAGTCCATATGCCAGATCCCCCTAGCAATAAATCCGTGACTTATTGTAGCACAACCCGAATTGGACTTCATTCCGGAATAAAGAACTACCATTTCCGGCCCACCCAAAAAGCATCGGCTTACATAAAGAAACTAAAAGTATACATCGATGGCAAAAGTGCGAAACCACGTATCGCGGTGTTTCAAAATTCCCGCTCCTATTATATTTTTTGAAGAAAAACCAGACAACTTAACAGCTTGAAATTTGTATAGAATTTTCTGCAAACGGAAGAAAAATCAAGGAAGTTTTTAATAAATTACGTTCGCTAGTTTTCCAAAAAATAAATGAAATACTGTAGGAATTTTGCATCGTTGCAAACAAAGATACGCAGTTTCGCCTTTCGGCCACCGATATGTTGTTTCTGAGATGAGCCAGGAATTGTAGTTCCTTTTACGTAACACAGTCCAATCATCGTAGCCCTACCTCTGCAATTCCCCCATCATTTGGTTTATCAAAGAACACAAACTTAGAAAATTTCACTCTCTTTCTCCTCACTCTCCTAGTGCTCTTTGTGTACAAATTTGATCTTAACGGCGGTCCAGACCTAGCAGAAAGATACTTAGTTGCACCTTTATCGAATCTTCGCTGTAAATTAAGAGTTGTGTGTGTTGAGCAGTGGCGTAGCGAAGATAAGCTTCCTCTTCACGATTTACACGAACGCACCGTCAGAATTTATAAAAGCGCAAGATGAGATGTACTGGTTGTGAAAATAAGTGAACTGTCTCGAATATTTTGCCGACGGCAGCGAATTTGGGAACGGTAATATGATCAAACTACTGCACCGAGAACGCTGAGTTATACCTGGGCGCTAAAACAAGATAAACTTAAAAACTGAAAGGAAGTTGGTGTAGGACATGTTTTAACATCTCCTGCCGCAATGCTCACAATCAAATGTGATCCGTATTGAAAGTGGAAGGTCTTAGTAATTATAAAGTTTTTTCAAAGCTTTAACCTTTAGATACCCAGGTCGGGTCATATTGACGTGAGGCTTGCTAAAAAATACACACCCCGCGGCCGCGGGTCGTATGGGGTCGGCACACATACAAGCTCTAGATGTAGGTCCACAAGCACATCGTAAAAAAGAATCAGACATCAAATTGAAAAAAATCGATTGTCCGGGAATTTTTTCTCAACTACCTCCAGAAATCCTACGCCGGGTTTAATTGACAATTTTCACTTTGATAGTAAGTTTACTGGTCTTTATTTTTATGTTAGTCAGAACTAAGTCTATTATTAGTCGAGAAAAGTATTCAACTTTTGAAAGTGGTATAGATTCACAAATGCATCTTTATCGTACATCTTAAAGAAGAATCAGACATTAAATTTAAAAAAAAAGATAAAATAGTGTTAACTAAGCTAATGATAGGAGAAACCAAATCCGGCCTCGTATTCCAACTCTCAAATCTGAGCGAATCCATATCGCGGCGTAGATCGGAGCATTGCTAGTTCACGCCTCGCGCCATCGCGCCTTCAATTTTCCAGATACCGCACGGCCATCCACCAAGCACGAATAGTCGCATCCCCGCGCCGTCAACGCGCGTCTCCCTCCGCGGCTGTTCTCGGCATCGCCGTAGATCCACCTCAAGTTAGCGAGGCGCACAAAGAGAAAAGGAGGGAAAAAGTTTGTGTTGGGCATATTTTTCTACCTTCCCCACGAACACGCACAAATAAATATGATCCAATTGAACAATTAAAAAGACCCCGGAACTTATCAATTGTGAACTTATCGGACCCGACGACGCGACGGTTCCCGGGTCGCCAAGACAAATAAAAGTCACGGCTCCCGGCGACGAAGTCTTAACGAGGGCGCGGACAACTTATGGTTACATACCTCACTTCAAAGTGTGTCCTCCCTCGCCCCCCCTCCCCCGCCGCAGCCCGAGTCAGCGCGGAAAAGAACTCGAAAACACTGATTAAACGCGGGACAAACCCAATTATTTCAGCCGTGCCCTTTTCATTATTATAACTTCCACGTAGGTTAATCATAAGGCAGGGGTGGGAGGAGCCCCAGCGCACTCCCCGCCCCTCCGCTCTCCTCCCCCTCGTCGCTTTGTAACTATTCTTTTGCAGCTGTTTTTGATGTAATTAAAACGGCGAGGCTACCACTCTGTCGTGTAGGGGAGAAACGGCGCATGAGCGTTCGAATGTTGCCATATTCTCTCAAACCACATCATGCTTTTTTTTTCAAAAAAAATCGTACTTTAAACTGCAAACTTGAAACCGCCATATTTCCGGTGCTACATTTTTGGGCGTTTTAAGTCCCAAACTGTTCGTTGAACACTCCTCTATTCTCTAGCAGCACACTGGAAAAAAAACACACTGGATCTAGAGTCCAGACTCTTGAAAACATTGGCAAGAAAAAATACTCTTGATTCAATCGGATTTTTGCTTGAATCAAAACGAAATCCGCTTAAATTAAGAGGCTTGGTTCTTGATTTAAGCTAGATTCCGATTGAATCAAGAGTACTTTTTCTTGTCGATGTTTTTAAGAGTTTGGACTCTAGATCCAATGTGGTTTTTTTCCAGTGTATGCATAACTTTTCTCAAGAATGTATCCTTATCTGGAAAAGTTTGGCAACATCCGAGAGTTCATAGGGCGTTTTTTTGTTTAGGTATGCGCTGGTGTTGCAGGGAGTTTTTAACTTGGCGGAGAGTCGGGTTCTTTTTCAAATTAGAGAAAATGTAGGTTAATCAATAAGTAATCAATAAACACAATTAAGAGAAAATTACCATGATTGTGGAGAAAATTACGGTCGTTCGTTATGAATTCATTGAAATTGAAACTTCGCGAGCTCGAAAAACAGCAAATTTTCTCTCTATGAAATGTCTTTTTCGTCCCTTTTTAAACTGAACTTCTTCCCAAGCCTTAGCATTGCTTCATTTTTTCAAAGAAAATTCTTCACTCTAAAGTTAAAGAGTTTTAACTAAAGGTTAAATAATTTTCACGACTAAAAATAAATAAAGCCAAAGTTTGTAAGTCCATAATCCTAGACATAGCGTGCCTGGCAGATTCACTGTCTGTCTACCCTGTAAAATAAACAAAACTAAAAACCAAAATGAAAATCAACCGAAATACACCCGTATGAGCTTTTAAGTAGCCTGACTAAGCTTCCCCGTACACGACACGATGTTTTTCGAAGCCTTTGCGGGTCGAGTCCAACACCAACTCCAAATTTTAGGGCTTCCCTGTTTGAGCACTCATCTGCGACCTAAAGATCCCGCTCTCGCCCTCTCATTAAGCATAATCCCGTCATAGCGTGTTATACTATCTTCCCGCCTCTAGCTCACGGTGGCGATGAGGGGTCCGTAAGGGTAGCGTTCTTTACGTTACGTAAGTCTGGCTCGTCGAAGCACGCATTGTAATGTACGACCGTTAGTGTAGCGATAGGGCCAGAAAAATAAGTTTCCGTCGAAGAAATGTGAGCCGCGTTTCATTGCGTTTTTCGCGTCCATTTTTATGGACTCACATGGGGGTAATATTCGCCTTCTTTTCGGAAACTAGGCAAAAACAGATCCTCCGATGTTAAAACAGTCGCATCCTCTCATGTGCGTGACTATACATTTGGTTCCCCTCACTTCCCTTTTCAGTTTCTCACGTGTGCACTTTCTCTCCTCTCATAGTGTCACAAACAGTGGCGATTCTTCAAAGTTGGCGACAGTGTTTTTCCTCCATTTAAATGTATGTAAAACAATCGACGTGGTGAGGCTGATTGCCTTACTTAAAATCGATACTTTTGACAGGTGTAAATGGAAGAAAACAGTGTTGTCAACTTTTAAGAATCGCCACTTGTCGCAAAACGTATAGACCCTTTCCCTTTTTTGTATCAAAATCGGTCCAGCGAATTCAGCGGTCGAGATGTTTGTCTGAAGCTAGCACCGCTTACCTCATTTTCATATCATCGTTGGCTTTGAAATTTTACCTTTGCTGGACTTCTCAAATAGTTGAGCCTCATTTTACGAATGAGGCTGGTAGTTGAAACCAAAATGAACCAACCCGTGTGTTACC